CTTATTATTCTATCTTTTCTTTTTGTTTTACAGTAATAAAAATAAAATATAGGCTCATTCTGTCAGATATGAAATCATGAATCACGTTTTCAGACATTTATTTGTGATTAGAATTTATTCAATACAGAATCTATATCATTGAACAGCTATTATTTAATTGATTAAATCTAAAAAAAGTGTTTGATTCTCTGACATATATCAATAAAAGAATAGTTCAACAATACATTGGAAGAATCTTGGACATTGTGTCGACATACAATGTGCCATTTCCAAGCGTTGGCACAAGTGATGCAGCTGTTTCAGTACATTCATTCCATGCATAGATGATGATTGTTTGTGCATCAACTGTTTCATTGTATTGACATGTGAAATTAATTGCACTTTGAATCAGTTGTTGCAATTCTTCGACAGTTGGTTGAAGATAATGTTCCGGACCTTCATCGACCCATGGATCAGGTTGTGCAGCACGTGGTCGAGGATCCCAACCAGTGGGAGTTATTGGAACCATCTTTGCTCCGATCTGATGTGCAGATTGCCACCATCTAAATATAAGACTGAAGATGAATCAATTTTTTTTTCAAATGATTAGTTGGCTTTACCGTTGAGCTGAATGAAGTAATTCGACAAATGGAGTTCCCTATCAGATAAATAAATAAAGGAGAATCATTGAAAAAATTATTTTTCTTACTTCTTTGATTCCACCAGGTAGTGCATATGTTGAAATAGCATCAAATCCAAGTGATAAAGCATGTGATTGTACTCTTTGAACATTGAAATCCATCAAAACGAGATAGGGAGTTTGAAGTCCTATTATGAAAAGATGAAATGATGGTGGATATATAATTGTAATTGTAATAAACCTTGACTGATAACCAATTGTCTAAACTGTTGAAAAACTTGTCCACTTTCTGTCCATCCTCCAGCACACTTCTCTGCTTCTGCATCATCAAATTGGAATAAATAAAGAAGTGGTCGACCTCCTTTAACAGTTTGAAATTGTGGATGTTTCATGAGATTAATGTATTGTTGTTGAAAAATAACATCACAAGGAGATGAACCAAGTAGAACTAAAGTAAAGTTCAACAAAGATTTGTATGAACTGGAAAGAAATAAATTTAATCCATAAGCTGGATTTTCTGGACAATAGAGATGGGATGTTTGTATATAATATTGTTGGCAATATGAATTATTTGTGGCACAAGTAGGTCCAAATGTACAGTATGTATCAAATGCCCAATAATCAATACCTGCATGTTTTGCATAAAGAATTTCTTGATCCATTATACTTTGTTGATCTGCATTAAATGAAATATTGTTTGGTGAAATAACAGATACATAAAATGGAATACGATAATGAAACTCTGCTGGACTTAACTCTCGATGTACGTAATATGAAATTTCATCATATTGACCATGGACTTGATTCCAAGCATCCCAACGAATAACTCCAACTGATGGTCTTTGTTTAACATCAAGTGCAGTTGAAATGAAGATTGATGATAGAAGAATCATTGTACCGACATAAGCAAAAGATGATAGCATGTTGAATATTTAATATTTGTCTTGTCACTTGATAAAAGACGCGCACACACACCTATATTTATAACATTGTTGTTATCTATACGGTGTTTAAAAAGTATCTCCCTATTTTAAATTGCTTATTACTCTCAACCAACAAAAGATATCGTGATGATCGATTCATCGTTTGAGGCATAGACCATGTTATTTTCTTCTAGATGAAATAAGTCGATTGATCGTTTCACTATATACGGTGAAGCACAAATTTCATCTAAAGAATGCTGAAACTAACTCATTATTTTGGGTAGTTTATTATTTCTATAGGGGAGTAGACAATATAACAATCCACACCCACACCCACACCCACACCCTCATATGGTTATTATTCTCTACATATTAGTGACATCTTTATTACTAACTACCAAATATGATAGTCAACACTTATTAAACGAGAAAAATATGTTTCTGTACCCTATCAACTATGCTCTACAAGATAGCAATAATCAGTTAATGAAATGATGACTTTGAATTCCCGGCCATCAAAGTTACACGTTACGCGTTTTAGTAGATATATGATAGCCAAATTTTCATGCGGATTTATTGATAGAAAACTGCTCACGAAACAGAATCCGTCATCATTATGTCTCATTTTCGTATCGAATTTTTCATTACTCATTAATTAATGAAAGAAGTAAATACGATGTC